TCAATATTATATTCTGCTCTTCTTTGCATTTTTCTGCCAAACCTACTCGGTTATGAGTTTATCAATCTTTAATAATGACTTTAACTTCGTCAAACATAGGATTATTGTAAATAATAGACTTAGCGTGATACATAAAACATCATGATTTATTTTTATTTATTTGAAGCAAAGCTCAGAAAATTCGGAATTTACCATAGGTATGGCTTATGACTTTGTAAAGTTAGTAGATGAACTGTTTGTAGGTTTCGATTTAGTGTCTGTGGGCACTAATATTATGATATACGAGGCAAAGAACGCTATGGACTAAACCTTTACTCAACATCCAGACATCGTTATAGGCCGATTCAATCATTAGATTAATCAATTAGATCGTGATAAGTTCAAGTGTACATTACTTAGACGAGTGGTTCCCAAACTTTTCATAGTCGCGGCGCCCTTTTTAATTAAAATTTTTCTATGGCGCCCCACCCTAAGTATGTATGACTATTCGTATATAAGGGATAAAAATAAACAAAACTCGTGTATCTTTATTATATTTTTTACATTATTTACATAGAATTGATATTTAATAATTAATGTGATGGATGAGCCTGCAAATCACTGCACATTTTCTCAAATTAAAGCTTTCACATTATTTCGCGCACCCCTGTAAAGAGGCGCGGCTCCCCGTGGTGCCGCAGTACACAGCCTGCTAATCCCTGACTTTGACCATTAAATTAGGATATCTTTATTCAATATTATTTTTCTCATTGCCTGATAGATACTTAAGCAGTATAGCGTAGTGGTTAAGGTGTCGAGGTTATACACTGCACTGTTATGTTTTGAGTTCCGCCTTCAGCAGCTGTTGGGCTCAAAAATCAGAACTAGCTGAACACGAGGCAGAACCTAGAAACGAAGTTGAGTGGTATCAAGCTTCTTGTTTTGCTCAACATATTGACGTCAACACACACACAGGCACTCGAACAGAGGTGGCATGACCAGTACGAAAGATAATTAATAAAACTATTATTTATTTATCTAGACCTTTCGATTTTAATTTGCGTAATTGAGTCTTCATAAGAATTGACATAAAGCCGAATAGTCTTCCTGTCCCTGTAATAACTTGAGAGTTCTATAAGAAGGAGTTCCAGCTCGGATGATGACCATCATATAATAGACGAAGACAGGAGGTCTCTTGGACTGCGCCAACTGAAAATTCGTATAAAAGTCAAACAGTTGCAGTACAACGGGATTCAGTCTTCCTCTTTTGGTGAGAGGACGACTTTCGAAACCATTCAGTTACTGCTATCACATTCCTAAACTCGGCATTTTGGGTAAATAAGGCATCATTTGAATATTCTTTTCAATCAAAAAGCGAGCGATACCGATTTTAGTAATATTTTATAATATAAGGAATCAAATTAGTTAAATTACCTCATACTCTGCTTAGGATGTATAAATTTAAAAGATTATCTGCATAAATGTCAAATAAGTAACAATCGTAAATTTTCGTAGTCTTTCATAATTTGATTTTTATTTGTTAATAATAGAGAATTAGTAATCGAATTTATTAGCATAGAATAAACGGTGTAATTAGTCATGACATCAAAAGATTATTTCAGAATGTAAGATAATTCTGGCTTTACAATTAATACTAAATAAAATGTAACAATTTTAAATAATTAAAACATATACAATTTTGCAGACACGTTATTTACTTATAAAAATGTGGTTTTAAACGATTTGATTACTTGCGCGGCATTTTGGATATAAATATATGCCTTTTGCTCATCTTGATGGTGCTCATTGCCCGTCTTTGCTTGACCACTACAACTAATATGTGATGCATTAATGCCTTTTTTACCACTTATAAAATTATAGAGTTGACATTGTTTGACTCTAAGTCTGCTAAAAAAAACTTGTATTAATATATAATGGGGGATGATAACGAGTGGAAAAAGCTTCCTACTGAGGAAAAAATGCAGCACAAAGTTCGGCTTATCTCATTGTGTTTATTTTTAGTCATGGAAAGCCCGGCTAGAAGGATATGAAGAGGCAATCAAACTTTTCGTTACCCAGACTTCTGATAAAAGCCCGATTTTCAATGAATATCTCGGTCTTATTAAGAAAGCAGTGGTCGATTCCAATGCTGTTGCCCAAGACAAGTCCCTCGATATGGTGCTTACCTACCTCACAAATGCTGCTTGTGCACCCAAGTAAGAAAATCACCTGTCTTTTCCTCATACGTTATTTACTCCAACCTCATTGTTAAAAATATTTAGGACTGCTGGTGAGACGTGCCCAGGGTTGATTAGCAAGTGCCTAAATTCACCAAAACCCAAAACGAAAGACAAAGCCATTGAAATCCTTTTGATGTATATAGAACTTGAAAAGCAGGACATTGTGCTCGAAGAGTTAGTTAAAGGTTTATCAAACAAACAGCCTAAAATAGTTGTTGGCTGCGCCCACACAATACGGGAGGCTTTAAGGTATTGCTTCAATAAAACCTTTATTCCAGGCTTTTTGGGGCCAAAGTAATTCCAATAAAAAATTTTATCAAATCCCTGCTTAAACTTCTTGATGATCGTGACCCTTCCATTCGAAACGAAGTGAAATGCCTTATAATTGAAATATATCGATGGATAGGATCTGCAATCAAACCTCAGCTTTCAATCCTTAGACCGGTTGTGGTATGTAAACGAATTATATACTTTTTAATCCAAAAATCGTCTTATTTACTCTTGCTTACTAGCTAAATGAGCTGGAAGCAGAGTTTACCGCTATATCTCTCTCCAAGCCAGTTCCTGAACGTTATCTGAAGAGTCAACGACCCAAGGATATTCCCCAAGCTGCAGATGTAGGTTGCAGTGGGCCATTTACCAACGAAACCTCGAACGCAAATAACATGGATACCGGGGAAGTTATGGCTTTTGATCCTTATGAAATGGCTGATCCCGTCGATATGCTTTCCAAGATTCCTTCTGATTTCTACGAGAAGCTCGTAAGCTTGTATGGTTGATGGTTTTAAGTATATCAATTATACCATCCTCGTAGTTCCATGGACCTATAAAACCCTTTTTAATATATTCAGAATGAGAAGAAGTGGCAAGATAGACGTGATGCTATGGAATGTATTGAGAAACTTACCAATGTCGTTCGACTTGCCCAAGGAGATTACAGTGATCTCATTAAAGCCCTTCTTAAGGTGAACTTTTATATGCTGATGAATTTGCATTCGTTTATTTTTTTTCCCACTTATTATAATAAATTTTTGTATTTGAAAATTTTATAGGTTATTTCGAAGGATACTAACGTGATGCTTGTCGCACTGGCTGCAAAAATAGTCTGTCATATAGCTCGGGGTCTCAGAAAGAAATTTTCTCCTTATGCTGCCCATACCATACACGTGTGTCTAGATAAATTTAAAGAAAAGAAATCGAACGTTGTACTTTCACTGAGGGAAGCTGTTGATATATCTGTCAAAGTGGTACGTTTACGCATACTCATCTCCTTTTCATGCATAGTTCATCTGAGCGTCATGCCATTTCTAGTGGTCGATTATTGTTCTTATATTTTTTGCTGGATAGTCATACTGTTGCTTTTATAAATTGTCAATGTGCTAAAATGGAACCGGATTCTTAATTATGACTTGGAGGCTATTCGATTCGCCTATTGTAACATTTGCCTTTAGTGTTGTGATATTCTTTATCTAACTTATGATTAATCATACTCCTAATACCAATAA